CAAAATTGTGTTTCAAAGCAATCCGGTGAACAGCTTCTTGCAAATCTTTCTTCCTGTCAAACAGTTGCTCGACATACAAATTTTCATCATCGGGGACTACACGCGAACAATTAGAGGATCGTGCACTCGGTCCAGCCTGTGAGTTGCCACTCGACTCATGTCTCAGACGAGATATTCTCATTTGTAAAGTCATTATCTCTTTCATTGTCTTGAACTACCGAGCAAATTCTGTGTGTAACAGTGAGATCCTGGTGAGGAGCAATTGTCTCTGAAATAGCCACAACATCATCACGCACTATTTTCACTGTGTCCCAAAACTCATTCACATTACGATCCCCTCCATCGAAATCTTCGTGTTCACTCTCGGGGACATTCTTCTTCATCAAAGTTACGTAAATAGGAATCGCACGTTTCTAATTCATTTCAATTAAAATCTTCATTTCAACTTCAGAAATAACCATTATAGGTGGAATTGAAATGGATGTATGCTCGCCCATTAGAAATTCCAATTCCATGTCGTACTCAGAGGGATTGACTTTCAGCAAGTTCTGTATCTCATTGTACATTTCTTCATATGATGTACTTGATGTTATTACAATTGCAGTACAACCATGTCTTTCACTCGTCCATTTCCATACCCATCGATCATTTTCATTATTTTCAAACTCACCAAAGGAACAAATCGGGACAGCAGCCGATCCCATATCTACATTAGGAAACATCATTTATTAAAAAAATTGTAATTACGAGAATAAAATGACGAAAAAAATATGACACACACAATCATTAAAAAAAGGGGGCCCAAACAGCCCAGACACCCGGGCTGGATGTTAACAACTTGCCCGATCGTTTGGTCGGCTATCTTCTCCATTTTGCATCTGAAAAGATGAATTTTTTTCCTCATTTTTGCTAAAAAAATTATACATCCATTTAAGATTGTAATAATTTATTAATCTAAAATCATACGCTGAAATAAGATTTAAATATTCAAACAATGTACTAATTTAACTAAAATGAAATTAAAAATACGTATTTATACTTACCAATTTTAAGTGCCGATTGTAAGTAATATTTTTTTATTGAGCCTTTGATAATTTTTTGAAATTTTAATGTTCAAGCAGATGGAAGAGAAAATTTCTTTTTAACTATGTTGGAGAATCTAATAAGGAAAGTGATTTCGTTTTGAAATTTAAGTGGGATTGTTTGGATTTATTAATTTTTTAAAGAGGGTATTACTTTCTTTTGAGCAAATGATATATTTTTGTAATTACAAAACATAATAAGGGCAAAAATGACATTTATTCTTCAAAAGGCTCTTTTGGTAAATGACAAAAAAAATTTGGTCAATGTGAAAAAATGGTCTTTTGACTAGGTCTTTCTTAAAAGTACCCCACTTTTTGCTAGGAGTAGACACTTTTTCCTAGAATCGGTAGAACCAAACTGGAACCGTTTAGAACCGGCCGGTTCGGTTTCGGATCTTCTAAAAAACAATTTGACTTCGGGACAAATTTTCAAGAACTGATCGATTCAGGTCCGGTTCTCGGTTCTAGTATGGGAACCACGGGAACCAGACGGTTCTCATTGGTTTTAATTTTTTTTGGTAAAATAAATGACTCAATCTCCAACACTTTTATAAAAAAATAATCAGGTTTCTTCTTAATTTTAGACTCGAGCACTTTACTTCTTCTCTTTGATTCTTTCCTTGTCTCTTCTTATAATTCTTTGATTAATCGATTTTCAAGCCAAATTAGAATATATAAATTTATTTACAATATATAATTTCATTTATAAGATGTGAAATTTTTATTTTGTTTTCACTTTGATTACATGATTTTTATTTTATTCACTTTGTACATCTATACCTAAATATATCTTTGAATAGTATGTTCGGTTTTTCTATATTTTGTTAAAAGTATCATGTTGGTAGTATTTTTAGAGTTTTTATTAGTGAACATTTTATTTTAACATTTTCAATGTAAAGAACCGGACCAGACCGAATCGGATCCGATTGGTTTGGTTCCGGTTCGATTCCACAGTTAGCTATGGAACCAATGGTTCCATTTCTAAAATTTCCATTGGTATTCGGTTCGGTTCAGTTTCCTTTCGGACCAAACCGGACCACGCCCACTCCTACTTTTTGCCCCGTTTAATTTGTTTTATATTTTTTTTATATTTTTTTACATTATCAAAATTTCGAGTTATGTCATGATTAGAGAATAAAATACAAATTCAAAATGGATTTTTAACGAGTGAATTGTTTATAAATAAAATTATTTTTAATCATTTTTTTTCCTTCACGGGGCGAGGCATTCTCTCCCCTCCTTGCCCCATGCCCCGCAACGGGACACCCCGACCTGCCCTTCACCACGCAACCAATCCATTCGGGGCGAGTTTTTTTACTATCACTATGTAAGATTCTTGGTTATTTCAACGAAAATATAAAAATTACTTTCAGAATAAATTTATTTATAAATTTGGCTTTTAAAGAATTATTTACTTATTAGTAACTTTAAGTTTAGCTAAATGTGCACTATTAGCTAGCAGAGCAACTATTGTGATATTAGATCACCAACTTGTAGGTTGAAATATGGAAAGATTTTTTGGGTGATATTTTTTAATTGTGTATGATCATTTTCTTAAGTATTTGTATGATTATCAGACAATCTCTTCCTTTTTGAGTTGTTTGTAACTCTCTAAATATGGTCTTCTATTTCGAAATAATTAGACAATTTTATTTTTTATGATTTAAAATATTTCCAATTGCTTCCGTTCCTCGATGAACGGCCTTATGCTGCTCGTCCTACCAAAGTTTTTTTTTTCTATTATTTTTTTAACTATTGTCTAGCCAATTGTTTCAGCTCCTTTCTTATTTTGTCCCTTAGTTAGCCCCGATTTGTTTCCTATATTAGGATAGTTTGAAGATCTTGATCCGATCATTGCATACTTGCCAAGCCATAGCAGAGAATCGTATCTTTCACCAAGTTTATTGTGGAAATTACACTAGAAAATGTATTTAAAGATAACAATTTAAAAATGAGGAATGAAGTTTATTTAACCTGATGACGATTTCATATTTTAATATTATTATATTATAAATTAAATTTATATAATCATACCCTATCTCATCCACCCCATTCAAACCCTAAATCAATTAATCAATCAATCAATCAATCCCTCTCTCTCATCTTCCACTCCCTCTCTTCCTCACCCATCTCTCTACGCTCTCCCTCTACTTGCTTCATTGTAAGTGGAGTTCTTCGTTGACAGCACCTATCCATGTATTTGCTCTCTCCTCCGCCTTTCCCTTAATGGCCAAAGTCATCAGCATCTTCTCCTTCCCCAACACATGACCCATCATTACTAGAATCAATAACTCCAATACCATCATTCTCCTCCCTCTCTATCCTTTCTATCACAATCTGGTGCTTGGTGGCGATGACGGCTTGCCCATTGCCATTGCTTCTAATCTGATAGTGGTTGACTCACAATAGCGCAAATCTATTATTTCCTTTTCTTTTCTTTTCTTTTCTAAACTTCTGAGTTTGATTTTTCGGATGGTTATGGTGGTTTGTGTGGTTGATGGTTGCCGTGGTAATTTTTTTTTTTTTGTGGGGTGGCAGCGACGACTTGTGCAGTGGTGGTGGTCGCAAGTGGGGTTGTGTTGGTGGTGGTGATCGCAAGTGGTCGTGGTGGCGGTTGTGTTGGTGGTGATGGTATATAACCAACTTTTTGGTGTATGTGATCAACTATTTAATTGTGACTTATAAATTCAATAATTTGTGATCAATAAATTTAAAAATCTGTGATCGACAAATAAATTATGAAATATAAATTTTTTGATTTGTAATCAATGAAATAAATTTTGACCAATTCAAAATTTTTTTGTACTATGAAATAACCTGTGACCAATTAATTTGATAATATGCAATTAATAAATAAATTGTGGCCTATAAGTATGCACTTATGATAATTAATTGTATAATTGTGACCTGAATAAATTTAATTAATAAATTAGTACTTGAGTTTTGAATTTTGAAACTTCAAACCTGAAAATTGAATTGTCCCGAGCATGGATTCTTATTGGGCCAGTCTTTGGAGTACTACTTTTAACACATTAAGCCCTTGTATGAGAGTTTTCCTTTTTTTTTTTTTGGGAAATAATGATTTTTTAAATAATAAATTTTGGAAAAATTTATGGTTAAAAAGTAAGGAAAACTTTTGAGTTTACATGAAAAATATATTATTAATAGAACGTGTAGTTAAAAATAAGTATGGAAAAAAAAAGAATGAGAAATAATGATTGTTAAACAATGGCTTAGTTTAGTTGTAAAAATGTTGCACGATGATCTACTCAACATTTTTTTTTCTTCGACTGGTGCAATATGCCCCTCATGTACTTTTTAGATTGATAGATAATGATTTATTTATTTATTATTATTACTTTTTTTTTAAAAAAAATTTGCAAGAGGTTCTACTTCTTTAGTTGGCTCAGTCGTTCTATACTACGACCGCAATTATGAAGTATCGTTTGAGCCTTAAAAATGACAACTTGCTTGGATCAATTTGATTAATACACCACAATATTGATTATTGAGTGTGAGGTGGGATTTTGAAATATTAAAATTTTATAAGATTATATTCTTGATGATAATTTTTCAATTGTATGTGAATATTTTTCTTGATTGTGTGATTATAAAACAATTTTTACCTTTTGAGTTGTTTGTATCCCTATAAATAGAGCCTTCTATTTTATAATAGTTAGACCAATTTATTAAATACAACTTCTAGTTTTTAACAATGCATGGTTTTTAAAATTTGCTTCATTTTCTTCATACTAGGTTTAGCATCTAGTACATTGCATCCAGATTTTACGAATATGTTTTTTGTCTGTTGAATATAGAAAAATGAACCGAAGAAGGAACGACACTTCATATTTCCTTGTCTTAAAACCTTTGGCAAAGCAATAAAGGCACGCTTAGCACTCACAAGAGGCACTAAAATATAATGAACAAGATTTTATCTTCATTTTCTTCCTTAATACTTGAGTGTCATACAATCTATTTTACCAAACACATAATAAATACACGAGTCATCCATGATACTTGATCTCTTAGAAGTAGTTTGTGATCTCTTTGGTTCTTGATTTCTACTCTACTTTGCGATAAAATCATATTAATTTTGGAATAGTTTAAGTTGAATCCACACTTGATTGCAAGTTGTAATAATCAAATCTCATCATCCCATAGATGTTGGATGGTCTTGTATGGGCTTGTTGTTGAATTAACAAGAAATTCTCCCTTCATTATCTTCTCTTCCTCCATCTTCTCAATTTCAAGTAAATCGTAGTCGTCCAATTTGAGATCAAGGGCTCCCATGTTCTCCTTCAACCTATCTTCATTGAAGCTCTTCACTATCACACTAGCTCCTTTGGACAATCCCCAACTTAGAGCAACCTTAAAATTCAAGAAAAAAATGTTAGAGTTGGTTGAAGTGATGTAGATTCTTATTATGTTGACTTTCATAATGGCACATGCACGTACACTTGTTCGATCTTAATTTTTACTCAACTTCAATTGAATTGTGTGTTTGTTTCTTAAATTTGATAGTCAACGCTATCTATTACACGCATTTCACATTTCTAATTCCAAGTATTGTGTGAGAGAAAATTGGTAAACCGAAGCTAGCTGCTGTACCTTTGGAATTATTCAAAAACTGACTTAAACGATACAGATGAATGAATGAGACAAACATTATCCCTTTTCCATTGGTATGTCTAAGAGAACCTTACAAAGGAATATTTTCTTTTTTCAACGATTTCAATTCAAATTAATGAAATGTGAAAGCGTATTTATCTCAATAAGAAATAGTGTATGCGGAGGTATGAAGTGAGAGAGAAGGATGTTACAATTGGAGTTCTGAACTTGACAATCTTTTATTTTTGATTTTTCCGTTGAAAAATCTAACAAGAACAAGAGGTGCTAAGATTTTTATATATTCAAACAACTCATTTGACCCAAACTTCCATGATAATATGTAGTCAAACAAGTGGTGCAATTAATTATTATATTACATGGTTTCATACACACATCTCAAACATGCTCGAATCAAAGTTAGAATTGGAAATATATGATATACTTGAGCCATTAGCTTTCATGGCTTACCTGTGCCGGAGTGGATCTATGTTTAAGAGCAATGGATTGCATAATTGGGTTATTCACAACAGCAGTTGAGCCCCATACATTTCCAGGTCCCCCAAGTGGTGAATATGCACTAACATGAATTCTGTAATCCCCACAAAAATCCCTTAGCTTTTTTTGCCTCCACATTGGATGCATTTCCACCTGCAGTCCAATTTTAGTTCTGTTATTTATTTTTCCTTTCTATTAGCGAGGGGAGGTGGGTTAATGAGAGATCGACTAGAGATGTCAACAGCAGGCCACCTCGGCCTTCCTTTTTTTTTTTTTTTTTTTTGGGAAGTTGAGCTGGCCCACCTATTTTGACCTCTACTCTATGATATTTGTAAATTATATTGTGAATATCAAAGAGAGAAAATACCTGATTGACAGCAGGTGGAACGGAGGCGAAGTCCAAGAGGGCTTCAATCTTTGTGGAAGAGAAATTGCTGACACCAATAGACCTGCACAAGCCCATTTCCAGGCATTTCTCCATCCCAGACCATGTCTTTTCCATGTCCAGTACTTTCTCAAAATCTTCTTCTTTAGGCACTGGATAGCATACCCATGGCTTCAATTTTACTGGCCAGTGCACCAAATACATATCCACATATTCCATCCCAAGTTTCCTGCATGTATCAGAATTATCAGGTTAGACTTACTTTTTTTCATCTAAGGCTTGATATCGAACAATTTTCACAAATGTGATAGTGAGACTTGAAAATGGGATTTTTATTTGTTCTAATACCATGTTGAATCACCCCATTTAAAAATTTAAAAGGTTGGAGAATAAACAATTTTTTATTTTAGATTGTCTCCGAAAATACTTACTGCAGAGATTGCTTGAGTGCAGAAACAGGATCATTGTGATCACTTCCCCACAGTTTAGACGTAACAAAAATGTCTTCTCTTTCAACCACTCCATCAATAATTGCTTCCCTTAATGCATTCCCTAAGGCTGGCTCGGAGCCATATATTTTCGCGGTGTCGAAATGCCTATACCCTATCTGTACATATATACATACAACAACATCACACTCTATATCTATGCAAAAAATACACCACTAAAAATCGAAAGAAAACACATGTTAATGCTATATAAACCATGCTCGTATGACATGTTTGGTACGGTAAGTTGGACAAGATGAAGAAAAAGAAGTTAAAATCAGATCTAACTATGTCTAGTATAGCATACCAAACATGCCTGAGCCAATTGCATAACGTATTGAATATGCAAGGTTCATACCTTGAGAGCCATATGTACTCCATTCTCAGTAGTTTTTCTATCATTTTCCATAGAAAAAGTTCCCATACCAATTACAGGAATGGTTATGCCATTGTTCAGTCTCACTTGATTGCTTCTCATTTCTGCACACACACTCTCCCCCTCTTTTCTCTCCTTGTATACACAATGCATGAGACAAATTCAAAAGCTGGTTTATATAGTGTTACTATTACATGAAAGTCAACCTTAAACTAAAATTATAACTGATCCTTACAACAATTTTCAGCAAGAAAAATCCTTATAAATCAGATTACAACTATAAAGAAATCAATATAAAAAAATATAAACTGATGTTTACATATCAAGGTATAGGGATCTCCATGTCTAGTGAGTATTAAAATATTATTTATTTATTAAAAGAGAGAATCTATTACAGGTGTATTTTTCTTTAAGTAAGAGGTACACTTCTTAACTGGTTTTGTAAAAATTAAAGTGTGAAGCGATAGATTGGAGTTATAATATCCTAAGCAGACCTATTAAAAGATATTTAGGGCCCGTTTGGTAGCCATTTTTTTCAAAATATATTTTTCTCTCTCTTCTTTTCAACCACACATTCTTTATTAAAATAATATTACACGTAAATAAAAAACTTTTCCTTATTTCTCAACCACACATTTCACATCAATTTATTATTCTAAAATGTATTTTTACATAAAAATGCCTATCAAAAACCCCTTTACTTTCAAAAGAATTTCTAAGAAACTTTTGAATACTAGATTGTTAAACTGTAAGATATTTCAAACACAAATAAATGGAATAAGCGATATAGCTTCGACAAGAAAATGAAATCGAAATAAAAGTCAAATAATATTAATGTTTTCGAAAATAACAGTATTTCATTTACTATATTTCTAAGAAACATATTGATATTAATGAGAGAGATTATTTGTAAAGGGTGTGTGTTGGCGTCGTGTGAGGGCACTTGAAATGGCCAATCGTATAAGAGTCAAACCCAATATTTTGTTTGGGTACAGCACGGACGTTGATCTGCCAATAATACAAGAAATATATTGAGGAAAGTCAAACAGTTGACTTTCATTTTTTTAAAAATTGTCCAAGGACCTGTTTGGCATAACTTTCGAGAAGTCAAAAAGAACTTTTGAGACTTAAAAAAATTATTTTGAATCCGTTTGATTAATTTATGGAAGTGTTTTTTCCTAATTAGAAGAGTTTTTGGAGAAAACTGATCCAATGTGACTTGCTCTAAAAATTCCTCCGGATTACAAAACTCTTAAAAAACAAAATTCAAACAAATATTAAGATAACTTTTTTAGAAAACTCTTCTATAAGAAGTAAGAGCAAAAGTCATATCAAACAGATTGTAATGAAGTTGAAAGGATGTTCTTGTATGTAATATATAGATTGTATATATTTTGGAGTCACGCTTGATTACATGAATTGTAATATGTTGAAAAAAAAATGATAATGATATGTGCATAATTCTAACTACTGATTTAAATACGGTATGAAATTCGTTAATTGACACGTTAAATTTAATGTTCTAAGCATCATGTTATAATTATGTTATGTTTACGATTTAAAATATTTGAATAATATGATACAATCACTTAAAAATTATTAAAGAAATAACGATTATTCCAAACTCTCTCCTCTCTCAAACTAAGCACAATACTAAGGGAGATGAATTTAGAGGTGTGGTGATCGTTGGAAGATTAAAAGAAAATTTCCTTCAATTATTAATTAGTCAAGCTCTAGAGACTAACCATTAAATTGTTTGACATGAAAAGGAAAGTCAAATAGTTGACTTTCATTTTGTAAGAAACAAAGTTGAAATGTTTTTAAGAGTAAAAAATTAGTTGACAAAGTTGGTTTACAAAATAACATTTACACCAATCATTTTAAAAAACACTTTTTTTTTTTTAAATCATTTGAAATCAGAGGTCAAGATTTTGCCAATACTTGTTTTGTAACCATTTTTGTCAACTTGTTTTGTACAACTAGATTAATTGTGTTTTTAAATTGTGAACCATATGATTTTGTCCTAAGTGCGTGCAATTTTAGGCTGACAGAGATGAGAAACTTTGATGTCGTCGTGGGCACGAGAAATTATAAGGATATTCTTAGAAACATATTCTTAAAAACATTTGAATAATACTATTTACAGTCGCTCTACGTGGCATACGTGTAGCGATTATTGATTTGTTGCATAAAGTGATAAAAAAATTATTACATTAATATATCAAATTATTAACCGTCACATGTATATCACGTATGGTTACTACAACAATGAGTGATAGCAAATAACATTACTCAAAACATTTAGGCACTGTTTGAACTCCATTAATTTCTTGTAATGTATTATAGAATAGTAAATTGATGGAAAGTGTATGATTAAAAAAAGAAGATTTTTTTTATTTGAGTGTAATATTATTTTAATGACGAATGTGTAGTTGAAAATGAATACGATAGAAAGATAATGGGAAAGAATGATAAAAAAATAGGGCTCAAACAGGAACTTAATAGATAGTATAATGGACTGATGTGACTCTACTTGATCAAGTTAACCGTATGATTTGAAATACTTCAAAAATTTAAATGATTTAAAATTTTTAAAGGAATAACGAGTATCCCAAACTCTCTCTTCTCCTCCCTCTAAAACAAGCACAACACTAAGGGACATGAATTTGAAGGTGGACAAATCACTGGAAATTAATGAATTTTTTTTAATTATATATAAGTCAAGCTCTAGAGACTAGTGAACATTCTAATGGTTGACTTTTAATGCTGGACCGACACTGGAAATATATTCCTTGACATGAAAGCATTGTCAAATGGTTGACTTTTAATTTGTAAGAAAACACAGTTAAAACTTAAAAGGATGTCCTTGCAACATGCAGGCCACATTGTCAGTTTTGGGGCCAAAACGGTTATGTCTTAATTAATAAGTTCTATACAAAAATATTTTTAAAAAATATTAATTTTTTTTAATTTAATAGTTAATACTACGCAACAAATATGAGAGATAAAGTACAATGAATTGGATCTTTCACGTAGTTCGTGTGATGGTCTTCTTCATTAATTCAGCAACATCATCCATAGTATCGCCACTGAAAACTAAATATGAAATGTCGTGATAAAATTTGTTAGTTATCATATTCAATTCTGCTTAATTCAATGTATTACATTTGTTATCACAATCAGCATAACGAGTATATTATTGATACATTTAAATATTAAAATGATGTTTAATATGAAAACCATAAGTTCGACAAGTTCCCTTTTGATTATGATTGATATGTCAAAAGTTAGAAATGTTAATGAAATATTATCGTGGAGACTTTAACAATATAGGTGAAATAAAATAGTTAGTAACATACATTTTAAGATTATCTTGCCATAAATTTTATGTCATGTGAGGCATTTCTAAGCACCACAAACAATTATGTCATTTTTCTAGCAAGATATTTATCTTTGCAAAGGGAGTAACCATCTTGTCATAGTCAATTTCGTACTGCTTCGAAACATGCTCTGTACCCATGTATCACACAAAGATACCAGTGTACATACATATATCAATACTCACCACCCCCCCCCCCCACCAGA